ATGGTGTAGCACGTTAAAACAAAAGGGACTGAGGGTTCCAAAATCTGGCAAGCAATTGCGTCCTAAAGTGCCTAAAAGTCGTAGGTTTAACTCCGAGGTTAGTTCGAATATCAGACATCGGGTTTCGGTCTCCATTTGTATAATTTATCTTATGCTTACTCTTTATCCTTGTCATAGCACGCTGCACATATTGATAATTCACATCGAGAAGAACAATTGTCAAATCTTCCAACCTCTATCGATCCTTATTCGTTAGAATACCAAAGCAAGATTCCTTTCCACCCGAATCGTCCGGGTGAACAATTTTCCTCTATTACGGAGTTGAAATCTGACGCAGACAAGTTATTTTTCAACTCTAATCAATCGGCAAAGACTCATCTGCAGTCAAAATATTCCTCTACTGGGATTGCACCTGATTTAGACGCCAGCTTAGCTGAAAGTACTGATTTGGAGGAATTTGAACTGCTTGAGCAATATGCTGAATCTGGCTCATTTTCTGGAAACAATTTATCAAAATCTCTGCGTTCTGATGTTGAGCACACAGATCTCCGTCAATACCTTTCATCTAAGTTGTTTAAAGATCAAAACAGCAATTCTCCAATCTATTACCAAGATTCCATTTCTGGGTCAGATAGTTTCCCTAAACTTGCGATGGGTGTTAACGCTTTTATCTTACCAACACCTGAACATGATGCAAGCAAGTAAGTCCATATTTTTATATGCATTTTATTGCTATATCGCCGCCCGCATTCGGTTTATCCTAATGCCTCATCTGCATTCATTCCCTTAAATTTTAAAACTACTATATATGGCAGTTTTTCTATGGTACATTTGTGGTACTGAAACCGGCCCTAGTATGATTGTACCCTTATTTTATTTATAATTTCTTTTGGAGATGGCAAAAGAAAAAATTAGTAAACAAGTAACACTACGAATCTTTGTTCTGTTGTGCCTAGAAATCCACTCGCATGATGGTATTCAACCTACCAAGTGCGGACGATATCTCTAACTCTTGGAATCATTCTTACAATTATGTTTAAGATAGCAGAATATTAATCTAAGATTGGCTTGACTTCATGCATTGAAATCTGGTGATTGATGGCTACTTGGATACCTACAGACGATTTGCATGTAGGCAATACGAAATCTCACACACATATATATATATAAACTAAAACTAATTTGTATAAGTCGCTATTTTACTGGTAGATATTTGTGCCATATCTATTTTCTCTTATCCTTCCCATGAATCCAGTAATGCTTCCACGATCATACCACCAAATGAGGATCTGCTAGACTTAAAAGGAGACCAGGTCTGCATAATCCAGCCTACTCTTACTCATAAATCCTTTTCGCCTACTATGAGCCAAGAAGCCTCTTTATCTCCTGATCCTCTCAGTGCTGAACCAACTTCTTTGAAAATTCATGATGAAAATTCAGTTTCTGTGCCAGTTTCTGTCCAACCAAAAAGGAAGGTGGCACGCCTTTTATCACATAAGGATAATGAGTCCATTCTTAGTCAAAGCACTGTGAAATGGCCTGAACCCGAGTTGGCTATCCATCATTGGCCGATAATCACACAGCACAAATTGCGGTCTCAATCTGAAAATCAAACTAAACTAGGAGTTGCTGATGCAACATCACAGTGTCTTTTTCCTAGATTGATGTGTCGATCAACCGGTTTAACAAAAAGTATAGAGGAGAAGTCGCAAACTGAGGAGTCTGTTTGGGACAGACCAGAAAAAACGAACTCCTTACCACAAGCTAGGAGCAACCCTACTGAGCAAGCAACAACAACTGTAGAACCCGTTGCTCAAAAACAGACCGATCCAAGTAATAGTTTGATATTTTATATGGTCGCTTTAATATTTTAATGCCATTTACACATTCTAATTCTAATTATTTTTTATTCATCATATGCATGATTTGTGTGTGATGGAGTATCATATAATTGACTTATTTCTATAGTCATGAAGTATACGCTTAATTAAATAGACTAAATTGGACTATTAAAAGTATGTGGGTTTGCAGCCGGCCACCGTTTTTACATCGTGTTTTATTGAATCATCGTTAAGCATGGTACCTTGCTGTGACGATGTCCGTCACATGATGGTCGAAGGCTCAGCAAGGATTCATCGGGATAACAGGGCCGTGCGTCGATGACCTATTCGTACAAATCTAGTCACAGCTCCAAGGTAATCCCTCTACTACTTCCGGTGGGCCCAACTTACGAATCCCTTCCACTCACTTCTTTAAAAGAAATAAAACTACTCCAATTCGATTATATTAGGGGATTCTTTGAGACCTTGTTTTTCTACATTTCTGCGTCGTCACCATAGGTCGCTTAAGATTATTTAAGGACTGGCAGTTGAGTTTTTCCCATAATAAGATGAGTGAGCCTCAATTTTATTTAGCCCTCTAATACAAATGCCGATTTTATCCTGGATTGACTGTAGTTTTGACCTCGCATTATTCTCATTAGATCATTCAGTGGGATTATATATCTGGTCTGCAACTTCCACGATACGGCCCAGTATCGAATCCCGCTAGGGGTACTAATGAGACCTGGGCGATGTTCAAACTTTGTCAACCCTGGTTGAGCTAAGCTTTTGAGAGAAATTCAGCGGCATCATGAGGCCCAATGATCATATTGTTGTAAAAACTCAATTGTATGTCCTTAAAATCACCTTGAGCGACCTAGGATT